GTAATTATGTCCCCACTGGATGCAACAAATGCCTCGTTTATAATGGGTTTTACTGATTCTGTCTCGTCGCTCCGGCCTGACAGGGCATCATCACAATATGGTAAGAGAAATAACATTTCCGTCACACGCTTGAGGTATTTGGCCAATCACAACGCACTGGATAGCTGGCCAATCACAGCACACCTCGCTTTTCAGAACGATGAGCTTTGTAAAAATCGATGCGTTTCAGAAAGGCAGGGCATAGAGGAGAAACAATTATGTACAGTATGTGGAAAATAATGTGTTTTTTGAACCTTAAACCGCATAAACACATTTCATTACACCAAATACACAAAATAATGTTCTTTTTAGCAACATCAAGACCCCTTTAACTTTTCTTTACTTGGTGTTTTTACGCGTTGCATTGCATATCGTGCCACGTAAACATAAAACCATGTTGTGAAACCTGCAGAAACCCGAATTTAGACTCCTCTTTTTTACAGGTTACCTGATGCTTGGACTGATTGTCTTGCTTGTTTTTATGGAAAGCTTCTGGGAACTGCAGCAGGTTCAAGCCATTCTGCGTTTTTTCGCTGGACCGCGGCAGGGTGAGCTGAAGGGAGTGGGTTTGGATGAGCTTGTGCTCAGTGGTGACATAGCAGGTGCTGAGGAGGAACCTCATTACACTCTACCTATATTCACCATCTCCCCTGCTTTCTCAGACTCACCTGCAACTCCAAGAATAGAGCTGCCACCGATCTTTGGCCTGCCACTCATTGTGGCCACCAAGGAAAATGTTCCCCCTTCACTAAGACCAAACCACACTCCAGATCTGCGTCAATCCACTTCCACTACATAACTGATACAGTGGAACTGGACATTGTAAGAAGAATAAAAAATATCCAAGAATGAAGCTGGAAACCACTAGGTGGCGATATTGGTTCATTTTCTTCAATGCTCTTTGGATTGTATAGAGTCAATACAAAATTGTATTTATTTATTCTTTTTACCTTGTTGGATTAAGCATATCTTTTTTTTAAGTATATAATCAACTTACAAAATGCATAATATATTTGTAGTTTATATTTTAGATTTATTGTAATCTAAAATCTGTTATTTATTCATTCATTCATTTTCATTTGTTTATCATATTAAATGTATATATTTTTATATTCAATTTTAAACTAGAGACTGATAATTGATTTGATTTGTTTTCAATTGATTTGGGCTGCATATCATGCAGTGAGTGTAATTTGGCCACATACATCTATAATATGCTTTATAAATCATTTACATTTATAATACAGATTATATAAATATGTCAATGGACATGTTTGGACTCGTATGTATATGTATGTATATATATATATATATATGTGTGTGTATATATGTGTATATATATGTGTATATATAAGTATATATGTATATATATGTAT